GGAGGATTTAAATTTTTTTCTATTCTAATTGCTAATTATAGCTGTAACGGGAAACTTATAAGGCTGCTGTGTGTAGATATCATCACCTCTATTTTCAAAATGTACCCAGATTCTCACTACTTTCCTCCTCCTGCTCCTCCACTCACTTTTCTTGACTGGGCTCAATACTTGCACATTTCACTCATGATAGCCGATTTCTGTTAAAAACTTGTCTCAGATTTTTGTCACTCTTTTAAAATACTCCAAGCCGGGCGTGGTGGCACACTCCTGCAATCCCAGAACTCAGAGGGAGGCTGAGGCAGGAGGATAGCTGTGAGTTCGAGACCAGCCTGGGCTACATAGTGAGTTCCAGGTCAGTCTCAACTACATAGAGACCCCGTCTCAAAAAACCAAATAAAGACAAAAATATATGAAATAAAATGCTCCAAATCCACTGCTCAGTTTTCAGTTGCCTGAAAGGCCCACGCAGACCTAAGAGCCCTCCTCCGTTAGTGCCTCTCTCTGCTCTGCGTGAGACCTCTGGCCAGGTTCTACCTCGGTTTCCCGGTTGCTGCTGCATCCCTTTAGGCCCTGCCAGTCCTTCAGGGGCCAGCAGGCCCCGTCCTCTCACACCTTACTTCCCCACGTCCCACTGAGGCTTGTGCTCTCCAAGATCTTCCCTGTGCGCTGTAAAATAGGACCTTGTTTCTTAGTCCTCCCAATCCCCATATTCTGCTGGCCTGCTCCATTTGCTGTGTAGCAATTATTACATAAAACAGTGTGTTAATATTATATCATATGTGCTAATATAAATACTACATAACTTATACTATATGAACATTAATTCTGTATTAATAGATTAAAATGTAATTGCTGTTTTCCTACTGGTATCTCTCAAGAACTACTTTATTTACTGAATGTGTGCCCCAAGGAAAGGATTTTATTTTGCTGTGTAATCACTTTCAATTGCCTGGATCAGTACCTCATGTAAAAGTAGGAGCTCAATTCACATGAATAAATATTTGCATGATTAAGACATCACTTATTTTTTACTAGATTTTTCCCATCACTCTGACCAAACTTATATGCATATTTCAGAAATCATTGTAAGATGTTATATTCAATAAGCATAATGCTAAAACTTAAGTATTAATCATCTGTTATTAAATGAATTAACTGTTCTTATAAGCAGCTCCACTACACCTTATTAGGTGATGATTTAAATTAGTTAAATTAGTGAAATTTGGGTGTTATTTAAAGACAATTTAAAGTTAGTGGATTTCTAGTTTTTTGGACTCTGAATCACAAATCTAATGGAACAACGGACCTCTAACATAAGTGGTCTGAAAACTTAACTTTTTCTCTTTTATTCTATTTTCATGTTTGAATAATGCCTTCCAAAACACATTACATTGACTTAACAACCCAATTTGTGCCCTTGGTTTTAACCTACAGTTTAAAAATCTCACTACGGAGTACACCATTGATAAAAAGAAGATTCATCCTCAATGAACTGTATTTATGCTGTCACTGAATATTAAAAACAAATGAGTGAACAAAACGCCCCCAAAAATGACCCTGGACTGTGGATTTTCTAAATTCCTGTTTGATGTGTTCATGGTGTAAACTGTTTCTTTGTCACTCAAAGCCTTCTCAGTTTACCTTTTTAGACCTGTCCCTTGCTAGTACTTGTGATTTTAAGTTTTATGTATGAACTTAGCTAAATTGTGCTAGTCAATCAAACTATTGGGAAAGTGTCACTCGGAAGTTATTTTGTAGATGTATTTATCATATTTAATTTAATTGACTTTATGGAAAGATTATTCGGGAGAATATGGTTGAGCCTGATCCAAGCGATTGAAAAGAGGCTATGAACAGAACTTGAAACTGAGGGGTCCCTCATGAAGAAGAAAGTCTGCCTGTGGCCGGCAGGGCCAGCTCCTGGTAAGTGGTCCCAGCCCGCTCTTCCTGACGGCAGCGCCGATGGATTCCGGGCTTGCACCATCGTCTTCCCACAGTCAAATAACCCAATACCTGGCGATAAATCAACCAGTGTGTGTGTGTGTGTGTATGTGCATGCGCGTGTGTGTGGATATGTGTGTACATCGTCCTAGCTCTATTTCTTGAGTGGATCTCTGGCTGGTAAAGTACTTTACTATCCTTAGTGAGGCAAGTTCTGGCTCAGTGCTTGCCATGTGCTTTTGTGCCCAATCTCTCTGCTCCCACACCTCTTGGCTCAAAATGGTCACGCCACCTTTGTTTAGGGCCTGGGAGATCCTACCTCCTCTCCACTTTCAGAAGGCAGTGGTGACTTGGGATCCTCTGAATTTCCACTTCTTTAAGGGTAGAAAGGCATAGGATGTAGGTTAATTTTACGATATTTCTTATGATATATAAGCTGCAAAAAACTCCAGGCAGAGTGCCAGAAAGCTCTGCAGCACCAGAGCTCCAGCAACAGCACCTTACTCAACTCAGCCACATGATGAATGAATGAATAAATGCTCGGGTGTTACTGCGTAAGAGACTTCAGCAACATCGACAACAGCAAAAGCAAAGCTTGGAGGTCAAACAGACCTCACATTTTTAGTTTGGTTTTCTCTTTATTAACTTTGTAGCAAGGGATAAATTATGTAGTCTTTCAACATTAGCCTTCTCCTATGGGAAGGGGCAGTAACATTGTCAGGTACTGAAACAATGCAAAAGCACACCAGCATAGGATCTGCCGCATATTTGGGCTCAGTGAAATGCAGCTACTCTATTATGTTAGAAATAATATTCTGCATAAATTAGTCAAATATATGTATGGAAGGAACACCTACTACAAGACAGGTATTTTGGTAAATTACCTGGAAAATAAGAAGATACATTAATGATGGTTAAGATTTACTAAGCAGATGGTTTATTTTAGATACTGTTCTAAACTTTATTTTTTTTATGGCTATGGCAACTCCAGTGAGAAATTACTGTCATTATTGCTAACTGGGTATGAATAATCACACATACAGAGTGTTAAGTAATTTCCCACAGACACACAGCGAAGAAAAGTGTTAGGGTCAGCGATACAAGCCAGGGTGGTCTGCTTTCATAGCTCACTTTCTGTTGTTGTTGTTGTTGTTGTTGTTATGCAAAACTACTTCCTGTGGACATGGATTTGGATTTCAAGTAGCATATGCTCTATGAAGAACTATAGAAAATCTTCAAAATAACTTTGCTACACGGTTTACTACAAAGTACCACAAAGAAAGGGATTGTTTAAAATGTTCTTAAAACTGTTTCCTATTTGTCACACATATTATACATATCATCACAAGGGGCTACATTCACAAGGACAAAACCAACCTGTCCTTCCACATTTTACTGACCCCGGTATGAAAAGATGCTTCTGTGTCCTCTAATTAGTGTAAGGCACTAATTATGCACCTTCAATTAGCACAGCCACTTATTAACACAGGAAATCAGTTCTTCATTGTCACATTAACCTTCAGAATTAACATTTAATGTAATCTTTTGATTCTTTATAAACCAGACTTTCAAAATGAGACACTGCAATTACGCAAAAATAAATATAATCTTTGGTGTTTTCACTTGAAGTGTATAATTCCACTATTACAACATGTACTTTAAAGTAATAGTGGCTTTATACAGTAAATTTTTTCTGCAAAAATTTCATGTAGTTTATATGACAAATATCTGTGGAAAGGAAAGATAATATGAACTTAGTTTGGTTAACTAAACATCTAATGATAAATCATGCCAGTCAATCTTTATGTTAACTTTACAGGAAAAACCCTAAGTATTGCAGTGACTGCAATATTTGTTTTACAGAAAAAAATACCTTAAGGCATTTTCCTCGCCATTAAATCAGTAAGAAAAAAATATAGCTCTGTTGCACTCTACAGATTTCACTGTGAGCAGGAGCCCTGGAAGAATTTCTTGCACGTGGCCTTTTCAATGTTTCTTCCTGCTGCTTCAGCCACTGATCTGTACTATAGAAGTTCCTGATTAGACCTGTGACTTTCTGCTCAATAAATATTTTACAATTGTTTTCTGAAACAATTCCTGCATCTAATCTTATTATAACCCAATGTATAGTTCTCCAATCCATAAACTTGTAAGATCTCTTATAAGAACGCTGCAGGGACAGCAGGGGAATGGGGGTAAAGTTAAGAACCAAGACATATCACGTACAGTACAAGTTCCCAATGAGGAATGTCATCATACTGTATATCTAAAATGTACCAGCAAACTTAATGAATTCAAAAAATAGTGGAACCCTCTGGTTCCCCTGTTGTCTCCACAGTTCAGCTGCTTAAATCTGACCACTCTCACAAACACCATCCCAACTCTTTGACCACTTGGTCTCTTCCAAATTCTGATCCAGATTTCTCGGAAGACCATTCGAGGATTGATGCTCTCTAACCACAAAACAGCATCGTCTTTAACATCCAGTTTTTAAATCATAATCATTCATTTGTCTATTTCCAACACCAATACCTCTAAATTTTAAAGACATAGGGTATAATGTTTATGGTCCTTGTTAGCATGCCTTACTTAGAACAAAAGAATAATAAAAATGCATCTTTTTTCTATTTTTTAAGTTTTAATTTGTTTTTATGGATGATAATTACATTTACTAAAATTATGGCTCATTTTCATTTCCACACTAACTTTTTTTTAATCTATAACGCAACATTAACATATTTTTAAAGCATGCTAAATGGGTTCACTGTCTGGCTAGAATTCTGCTGGCAATGATACTACAAATAATCTGAACAACAGCCAAAAGTACCTGAAAAAAATAATGTGTGTGATGCACAATTTAAACAGAAATTTAAAGTGATACATTTCAAAGGAATCATTTATTTAAAAAAAGTCATACATTTTATACCATTTAATTATTTCATTTACATTGTTTTTTTAGCAAACACTTACCAAGTAATGTCAATGCTTAATCTAAGAGTGACCCTAATTAATAATAATACTGCAACAAAGTAAAATTAATGTTATATGAACTTTTTTACCTTGGCGTTATAGGGAATGTAATGTTTTGATAAAGCTTCAGGTGTATGCATCCATGTTTTGTCTGAAAGGAAGAAGACACACGTTAAATCACAGATGGGTATGGTATCATATTTGTGCATTAGCATTTGTAGGGAGTCTAGGATGGGTGAGAGCATTTCCACTTCTGATGCTCTTCTGCTAAATTAAAGAAGAATTAACACTTAGATATAAAGAGGGTTGATTATAGCATTCTTTTCTTGATATAAAAGTGCCTCAACTTTTAAAAAAATTTTTCAAATAAGACAAATTACATTGAGTTTTTAAAGAATATACAAAGATGCCAACATCAGTGGACTGTGAATAACATCTGTTACACAAGTACAGATAAATACCTTTCTTCTTTCACTTTATGGTCTCATTAATTTCAGGTTCTTTCTCTTAGTTCTCAGAACAAAAAAGAAAACTTTTTCCTCATTGTGCTTATTTTTACCATCAAGATTTAAATATTCTAAAGGAAAAAATTATATTAAGCTAATGAGTATACGTCTATGAAACTGAAAAAAAAACCAGTCTACTATGCTCATTAAGATATAAATATAACTTCAGGATAATCTTTATTCTAAATTTAGAGAAACATTGAATGAAATTGTAATATCAGGAGTTTTGAATATAAATAATCTTAAATGCATTATTGGGAAAGGTTTTATAAATAAAACAGAAATAAATGTAACAAATATATAGATCTTGAAATTAACTTGACTATTATTTGAATTTTGTGTTTGTTTTAGTTATTTATATTTTCATTCATAATTTGAAATGTATTCCTATATTGACAGTGATACTTCACGTATGAAATTATTTCCTCATTAAACTATTACTTCTATGGATTTTTACTTCATAAAATTTGATTTCTATGGTTTTTCATCTTGATTATAATATTGATGGCTGCTAGAAAAATCATGATATGATTAATTCAAGAATAATTTGTACTCAG